TTCCCCAACGCCTTTATCGACTTCTTCGACGTCGTCACCCCTGTTGTCAACATGTTGGGTCTTGGCAAGAAGATGCCCGAGGCGACCCTGCTGCACAGCTTCAAGGGTGTTTGCAAGCCTGGAGAGATGGTCCTCGTCCTTGGAAAGCCCGGCTCCGGATGTACCACGTTCCTCAAGAACATTGTCAACCAACGCGATGGATTCACGTCTGTTACTGGTGATGTGCTCTATGGACCTTTCACGTCTGAAGAGTTCCTTCAGTACCGCGGCGAGGCAGTTTACAACATGGAAGAGGATATGCACCATCCTACCCTTACCGTTGAGCAGACTCTTGCGTTCGCTCTTGACGTCAAGATCCCCGGCAAGCTTCCCGCTGGTATTTCAAAGCAAGATTTCAAGGAGAAGGTTATCACCATGCTCCTCAAGATGTTCAACATCGAGCACACTCGCCACACGATCGTCGGCAACCCCTTCGTCCGTGGTGTCTCTGGTGGTGAGAGGAAGCGTGTTTCCATCGCTGAAATGCTCATCACCAACGCCTGTGTTTTGTCCTGGGACAACAGCACCCGTGGTTTGGACGCTTCGACCGCTCTCGACTTCGCCAAGGCGCTCCGTATCCAGACGGATCTGTACAAGACGACCACCTTTGTTTCGCTCTATCAGGCTTCGGAAAACATCTACCAGCTCTTTGACAAGGTCTTGGTTATTGACGAGGGACGACAAGTTTACTTCGGTCCTACTTCGGAAGCCAGGGGTTACTTTGAGAGCTTGGGCTTCGCTCCCCGCCCACGACAGACCACTCCCGATTATGTCACTGGCTGTACCGACGACTTCGAGCGCGAATACCAAGAGGGCCGTTCCCCAGAGAACGCACCACACAACCCGGAGACACTGGAGGCGGCGTTCAACGAATCCAAGTTTGCCCGGGAATTGGAGCGTGAGATGGCGGATTACAAGCAATCACTCGTTGAAGAGAAGGAAAAGCACGAGGATTTCCAGGTCGCCGTCAGGGAACAAAAGCGGAAGGGTGCTGGCAAGAAGTCGGCCTACTCTGTTGGATTCCATCAACAGGTCTGGGCTTTGATGAAGCGCCAGTTCGTTCTCAAGATGCAGGATCGCCTTGCCCTCGCCCTCTCATGGCTGAGGAGTATCGTGATTGCCATCGTTCTCGGTACCCTCTATCTCAACCTCGGTCAAACCTCCGCCAGTGCATTCAGCAAGGGCGGTCTCATGTTCATCTCTCTGCTGTTCAACGCCTTCCAGGCCTTCTCGGAGTTGGCAGGAACAATGCTTGGACGAGGTGTTGTCGAGCGCCATAGGCGCTATGCCTTCCATCGTCCGTCAGCTCTCTGGATCGCTCAAATCTTCGTCGATCAGGCCTTCTCTGCGTCTCAGATCATGATATTTTCCATCATTGTCTACTTCATGACGAACCTGTTCCGCAGTGCTGGCGCCTTCTTCACCTTCTACCTCATGATCTTGTCCGGCAACATTGGCATGACTCTCTTCTTCCGTATCATTGGATGTGTGAGTCCCGATTTCGACTATGCCATCAAGTTTGCCGTCGTCACCATCACCTTCTTCATCACCACATCCGGCTATCTGATCCAGTATCAGTCGGAACAGGTTTGGTTGAGGTGGATCTACTGGATCAATATCCTGGGTCTATCGTTCAGCTCGATGATGGAGAATGAGTTTTCCAAGATTGACATGACTTGTACCGACGACTCTTTGGTTCCTGCTGGTCCCGAGTATACCGATATCAACCACCAGGTGTGCACGCTGCCTGGTTCTACCCCCGGCACCAAGTTTATCTCCGGCAAGGCTTACATCTCGCAAGGCTTCTCCTACAACGCCAGCGATCTGTGGAGAAACTGGGGTATCGTCCTGGCACTGATCGTCTTCTTCCTCATCATGAATGTCGTTCTAGGCGAAATAATGAACTTCAGCGGCGGAGGCAGCCTCGCCAAGGTCTTCCAGCGGCCCAACGAAGAGCGTAAGAAGCTCAACGCGGCGCTGCAAGAGAAGCGTGATGCCCGACGCAAGGCCCGGAAGGAACACAAGGGTTCGGATCTCAAGATCAACTCGGAGAGCATTCTTACTTGGGAAAACCTTACCTACGACGTCCCCGTCCCCGGTGGGACTCGCCGCCTACTCAACGACGTCTTCGGATACGTCAAGCCAGGCCAGCTCACTGCCCTCATGGGCGCTTCGGGAGCCGGTAAGACTACCCTTCTGGATGTCCTTGCTGCGAGAAAGAATATCGGTGTTATTGGCGGCGATATTTTGGTTGATGGCATCAAGCCCGGCAAGGAATTCCAGCGGAGCACCTCCTATGCCGAACAGCTCGACGTACACGACCCATCGCAGACCGTTCGCGAGGCCCTTCGGTTCTCTGCCGACCTTCGCCAGCCTTTCGAGACCCCCCAGGAGGAGAAGTACGCCTACGTTGAGGAGATCATCTCCCTTTTGGAAATGGAGACTTTCGCCGACGCCATCGTGGGCTCCCCCGAGGCCGGTTTGACTGTCGAACAAAGAAAGCGGGTTACCATTGGTATCGAGCTTGCCGCCCGCCCTCAGCTGCTCCTGTTCCTGGATGAACCTACCTCGGGCCTCGACAGCCAGAGCGCCTTCAACATTGTCCGCTTCCTCAAGAAACTCGCCGCCGCCGGCCAAGCCATCCTCTGCACCATCCACCAGCCCAACGCCGCCCTGTTCGAGAACTTCGACCGCCTGCTCCTCCTCAAGTCCGGCGGCCGCTGCGTCTACTTCGGCGACATCGGCAAAGACGCCTGCGTGTTGAGCGACTACCTCAGCCGCCACGGTGCCGTGCCCAAGGAGACCGACAACGTAGCCGAGTTCATGCTCGAGGCCATCGGCGCCGGCTCTTCTCCCCGTATCGGCAACCGCGACTGGGCCGACATCTGGGCCGACTCGCCCGAGCTCGCCAACGTGAAGGACACCATCTTGCAAATGAAGGAAGCCCGCAAGAGCGCCGGCGAGCAAGTCAACCACGACCTAGAGCGCGAGTACGCCTCCCCCCTCTGGCACCAGCTGAAAGTCGTCACGCACCGCACCAACCTCGCGCTGTGGCGCTCGCCCAACTACCTCTTCACCCGCGTCTTCTCCCACGCTGTGATCGCGCTCATCACCGGTCTAACCTTCCTCAACCTCGACCTATCCCGCGAATCACTCCAATACAAAGTCTTCGTCTGCTTCCAAGTCACCGTCCTCCCCGCCATCGTCATCTCCCAAGTCGAAGTGATGTATCACATCAAACGCACCATCTTCTTCCGCGAACAGTCGTCAAAGATGTACAACTCCTTCACCTTTGCCGCGTCCATGGTCATCGCCGAAATGCCCTACAACATCCTCTGCGCCGTCCTCTTTTTTGTTTTCGTGTACTACATGCCCGGTTTGAATTCGGAGTCTTCCAGGGCAGGGTATCAGTTCTTCATGGTGCTCATCACCGAAGTGTTTTCCGTTACGTTGGGGCAGTGCCTATCCGCTTTGACACCCACGGTCTTTATCAGTTCCCAATTCGACCCCTTCATCATGATCACCTTCGCCCTCTTCTGCGGCGTCACCATCCCGGCCCCGCAAATGCCCAAGTTCTGGCGGAAGTGGCTGTACGAGCTGAACCCTTTCACTCGACTCATCAGCGGCATGGTGGTTACCGAACTCCATCAACTTCCCGTGATCTGCAAGGAGTATGAACTACAATCTTTTACTGCTCCGGAGGGCCAATCCTGTGGCGAGTACATGGAACCCTTCTTCAATAGGGGAGGTGCGGGTTACTTGGTTAACAACGCCACGAGTGCGTGCCAGTATTGCGCGTATAAAGTGGGCGATCAGTTTTATGAGCCATTGGGCATTAGTTTCGATAACAGGTGGAGGGACTTGGGGATTTTCTTGGCTTTTATTGGGAGTAATTTGATTATTCTGTTTATGGCGGTAAGTTTCCCCTCTCTTTATTTACCTATCTCCAAAGCTTCGTCCTCTGTCGGACCCGTTGCTGACTTGACAATCTTCCAGAGCCGATACCTCAACTTCAATAGGCGTTAAGTCTCTCTTAATCTGCCAGATGGCGACGGGGTCTACGGGCACTCAAAAGCAACATCTGCCCAACTATCTTGGGCCTGGATAACGGAAAGAATTCCAGTTGCTCTCCACGGAAAAGCGTTTTTCGTACTTGTCGTAGAACCTGCATTATATCCTTTCTTTCTTTTTACACTTCTCACCGAGAGTTCCGACGACGAAAACTTGACGATACACTCGACTTTATTTTTACCGTACCAACAGCGTTTTGCAATGGGATCTGTCAACATATAGATGGACAGCACATAGAATTGGTGTTCATTCGTTTTATGTTTGAACCGGCGGAGGACAACACAAGCGAGGCTTTTGAGGCTGGAAACACAGCGGGGTGTGGATTTTTGGGTGAAGGGGATGGAATTCCATGTTGTGGAGGCAAAAGGATGGGAGTGGTGGATGGTGTTATTTGACGCAGATGAAGCAGATGATGACGGATGCGGCATGTATGCATGATCATGAAGAAGAATAGACGAATACTAGAGGTAGTTTTTCGTAATCATTGTCAAGATGTAAACTTTGTTAAACTCGGTTGAGCCGTCTTTTCTTTGTGTATTTCTTCGAAGGAGGTTGCAAGCCTCGGGAATAAAACGGCTGCTCAGGAAGGTTCTTTTCGAGGGTAAGATGGTGGTTGATTAGGAGAAAGCTAACTATGGGGACGCTCTAAAAGTCCAGGTATAAATAGCCTTCCCTATTATCCTCACACTACACCCTCCAAAGGTCTAAATAGACATTTCCTCCAGTTGAAGAGTAGGAAACTCTACCTGTATAGAGTATGTTCTACCACAGCCTCCGTACCCATCCAGACCTCACCTCTCAGGTCAGGCACAATCTACCTCGGCTTGACTACCTTATCTCCCTGGTCTCAGTCACAGATCTCTTCATGATCCCACTCAGACTATGCGTATGAGCTGCCAACCATATCATGTCTCAAAGATACCTAGATAGAATGGCTGCCGATAGACTAGGGATGAACTTGGGTGTCTCCCTCTTCCACTTCTGGTACTTCTTGTCATCGCCATACAGCTTGTCATACTTCCTCTCGGCATACGGCACGCCCGTGACCTTCAGCATCAAAAAGGTGACAAACGCAGGGCCGATTGTGCAGAAAAAAATGACCGAAAGGACACTCATGGGGGAGGAATCGGCGGCAGCCAGAGCCTCCCGAACGTCGTCAAAAAAAAGAACCCCGAAGGTAACGGTAGTAATGCCTACCCAGAGCATCGACTCGCCGAAGTAGTTTGGGAATTGACTGTGGTCAACTTGCATTAGTACCGGGAGGTGGGTATTGGAGTGGAAGAGTGGAAACGCACCATTGGGACCACAAGCCACTGGTAAGGAACTGCTCATCGTGGACCTTATCCCGCTTCTCCTTCTGCCACTTGCTCTTCTGGTAATCGGCGACGACTTCCACCACGAAGCCGAAAACCCACAAGCCAAATCCGGAAAAGTCCGTAGGCTTGACATCTTGGACAGAAGGAACGCCGGAAGGGATCGAGTTGACGGCAATAACGGGCAGCATGCAAAAGATGATCCAGGTAGCCTGGCCAATAAAGGCCCTGAGGTAGCGGCGCGGGTTGATGCGGATCTCGTTGAAGCGGTGGTCGTGGCCTTCGCGGAGAATGCGGCAGAAGAGGTAGATTCCCACTACGTTGTGGTCGGAGTATTAGCTGAGTGTCTTCGTTGATAGTTTGGGGGTAAGCAATGAAGGTTTCGAGGTTGGGGGTAGCCATTGAGTGCCTGTTGCCTCCATTCTCAACAGAAGGTCACTTACATCTCACAGCCCAAACAGTAACAGCGCCGCTCAGAGCAAGCTGTCTCCAGTTGTAGTCAACTGCGAGAGGGGTGCCAGCGGCGACATCCTCGACAATGTTACATCTCTTGAAGGGTGCCATAAAGAGGCTTCCCCATCCGGGCTCGGTTCCGGTAACCGTTTCGACGCCCTCTTTGATGGCATCCGCAACTTGGCCAAGGTTGTCCCCACCATACTTGGCCCTGATGGCAGGCAGGTACAAGCTCAGAATGTTGACGATGAGGAAAGTAGACAGTCCCGAGGCGTCAAAAAAACGATCAGACTTGTAGATGATCGAGGGGATGGCCACAGCAATCTGAATCGCGTAAGCGACCATGATGCAGGGGACGACAGTCCGCTCGAGCGGACTGGCGAAGTTAGTCAGGTTGAGGAGGGACTGGATGATAGCCATTTCTGCAGTGTTGGCCTGGTCCCGGTGCTGCTGGACTTGAGGTTCTATTGTTGAACAATGACCGGGAGAGTTGTCGCGATGCTCTCAGAGTAAGGCGAAGGAGGAGGAGGGAGTTGTCTGAGGAGGTGGGGATGAGGACTGGTCCTGGTAGAAGGTGGGGAGAAAGAGGGCTAGCCCAAGTTGAGAAAAGAGAAACCCCGCGGCCCTTTTGACGATGGAAAATTTTCAATCAAAGAGGCCCTCTGCCGGAGGGGTTAGGGCAAGTGATCCAAGTGGAAGCTTCCTCGGAGGGGGACGAAAAGAGAAAAAAAAGAGAAAGTGGGACCGGGAGTCGGAGTGAATGGTCCTCCAGTTCGTCTCGTGAGGTACTCCTGACCTTCTTCAAACGAGTGCTCCTTCCGTCCTGAATAAGACAAGACAATAGACGAGGAAGGGGATCCTTCCGATGGGATCAGCAGGTCAAAGCTGCCTTATCTCGACTTAACGCATGGTGCGGTCTGGACCTGTGAGCTCATCGGTTGGAAGGAGTGGAATATCTGCCTATTGTCCTCGGGATAGCTGGCATTACGACTGATGATATTCGGTTGGGGACCTGGTGGGATGACCGGGGAGGTTGTTTCAGCCCTACCTCATCTTGGGAGAAGAATCTTTGCAAGATGGAACTTGCTCAAAGATGAGCGGTATGCCTGACAGTCCATGAACGGTTGACATTGGCCTTTTTTTGTTCTGCATTTTATATCTGAAAACCGTCAACGTGGCTTTTGACTTGTAATGCTTGTGGGTTTCCGTCGGAACCTCTACCGATTAATGGCTGCCTCGTCTCTCGGGTCTCTAGCTCCGGAGTTGCACAACCTTTTGAAAGGACCCGAAAGTGACCCCCAAACTGGTTCCCGCATCACAGAAATGGTAAGAGGACTTAAGGTTATTGAGGATTATGCCAGGGCTAGCTTACCGTGCTGGCAGCGATTGTTGGGTCTGTACCACCACGAAACGCGCCACGAGAAAATACCGTACACAAGCTTGATAACGCCTTTGCGGCCGCGGCACTGGGCACCAGTCATGGTACGCACCGGGAGTAGGGTAAATACGTTGATAGGATTGAGATGCTGGGTATTTGAGGCAAAGAGCACTGATTTCTGTTGTGAATCGCATCGCTGGGAAGCTCAGGGTGCTGTCATCCACGAATACAGTCCGGATTCGAAGTTCCAGGAGGACAATTTTGGTCATAGGCTGCAGCCGAACTAGCTGTCACGACTCAAGAGCCCATGTAAACATGTCGTGCCAGCGTAAGTCCCGGGTTTATGTCAGCAAATCCCTTGATATGGTGTAACATGAGCGGAAGAAGATATATACTTCCGTCGGAGTGTAATACATTGGGTTGGGTATTGGTGTGACAAGATTAACGTCCATCACAGAGAACAAATGGGCTGAAAAAAAACATCTCATACATGGGTATCTTGATGGAATAAAACAATGCTCAAGCCGTCTATATACGAGCGCCATCTGATCGCCTTTGATGTCCTCTAAAACAGGAAATTTCAGATACGCGCGCCAGCTTCTATCGCTCTTCCCCAGTCCTAGTCTTTACTGTCACGGGTAGGCCGCCCTCCATAGGAAGTGTTAGACTGGTCTTGCTTGTCCTCTCCTCATCGCTAGTAGGGACAAAGTCAAACAGGCAGGCCATGGTTGGGATAACCTGAGCAGCAATGGCTTCTGCCATCTTCCTTCCCAGACAAGTCCTCGGTCCACCGTAAAAGACTGGAAACTCAGAAGGGCTCCTCGATATCAGTTTGTTTCCGTCCAGGAATCGCTCCGGTTTGAAGTCGTCGGCATCGTCACCCCACGTGAGCTTTGATCGCTGCATTGCCCACAGACACCATATCAATATCGAGCTCTTGGGGAGAAATGTGCCATCAGGCAGCGTTACGTCTTCGTTGCACTGCCTGATCTCGAAGGGGATGGGCGGATAGAGCCGGAGGACTTCGTAGAACACCGCCATACTGTAGGGCATGGTGACGGGATTGAAAAGCGAGGAGTCGAATTGGTCCGGGGCGAGCGCAACATCCTTTTCTTTCAGCAGCTGCATCGCCTCCTCGCGGACCTTGGCAATGACTCTGGGGTGTCTCATCAGAAGGTAGAATGTCCACGTTAAGGCTTGACCGGTCGTGTCTCTGCCGGCAGAGAGGTAAGTCAAGGCAGCATCGGCTACCATTTGCTCGTCCTGGATGGCATCGAGGAGGGACTGGATAAGACTCCCCGAGATTTGATCAAGCTTTCCCTCTTCCTCCCCGAACCCCTTTTCGTGAGATTTCTGGCTTTGGCGGTCTTGTACGGCCTTGGTGACGATACGCCTCCCGAAGTCCTTCACAACGGCGATTGACTTTCGGAGTTTTGCTCCTAAGAAGATTTCGGTCACAAACCACAGGGGATTCTGAAAACGTTCAGCGGTGCCGCCTGAGGCGTAGTCAAAGGATACGGTAAACTCGTCGTCCGCATGCATTTCCATCTGGATGTATGTTAGTCTTGATGGTCGTTTTCAGCACGGAAGATGCCAGAACACTCACATTGTAGGCCATCTTGCCCATCAGTTTGGTGGTGATCTCATGGAAGACATGCTGTAAGTCGACCACGGTACCATTGGTGCTTGACCTGAGTTGGGCAATGCTTTCGGAGAGATACTCGGGAAGCGCGACATCCGTGAGAACTCGCAAGTTGGAAGTGTTGAGAAAGCTTAGACCTGCTTTCCTCTGGGTTCTCCAAAACTCGCCTTCGGCGTTGATGATACCGTTGCCAAAGAGATCCCACGATCGGCCTTTGACGAAATTGCCCTTGGTGAACACGCCCTCATTCTTGAACACATAGTCCAGGTTACGAGGATCATGAATAAGCACTCCAGGAGGTAGGGTTGGGACAGAGAGAGCAACAGTTTCGTAACCAAATTTGCGCTGGCAGGCGTCGAACCAACTGAAGAGTTTCCACCTAGGCTGCAGGAACTGGAGACCATTTCCCACCAAAGGGAGGGTATTGGGCGGTTTCCTATATGCCAATGCTGTTAGATATGGGAGGTGAAGCAGGGAACACTCGTGATCAGCCGACTTACTTCAGACGCTCGCCATTCCTCTTGATGGTGTTCCACTGGCTAAGGACAAAAGCGCGTACCAGGAACGCAACGAGGGCGACAGCAAGGGCGTAATGCGCCTTCTCATGAATGATGCCCATGGTAGGATCTAGGTATGGTCGTGATGTCGTAGCTAGGAAAGGTTCATGGACTCTTCTTGGAGAACGAATAGATCAGGTGAATGACGTCGAAGAAGGTGACAGCGAATTGCTGTTTGCAATGGTCGTAACGGTTTCACAAACGAGTGACAAGTTCTAAAGGGTGGAAGGGTGTGGCGTTCTAGTCGCTCACAAGATGTGGTGATACATGACCAGAAAATCAACTTAAAATCTCCTAATATCGTTCCTCTTGGGAGTAAGAAGCGTAAGGAGGAACTTGGGAAGCAGCGATGAGAGGTTGGGGGTTTCCTTCATGGACGGAAAGACAATCAGGCCGCGGCGCAGCCTAAAGTCGTAAGATCAAGAAAAATCCCAACTGTGAACCCTTGCAGGCGATTGCAGCGTCCCGAAAACATGGAATTCAATGCATTCACTTCATCCCAGCTGAAGCTTCGATAGCGGCTTGCCCCGCAATCGCACCAGATCGTGCAAAGGACGGCTCTAATCGACTAAGAAGACAATGTTTGGTAGGTGGTGATAGCGGGCGTTAGTAAAGCATCTGAGTTTGGTACAACTTCAGTGGGTATGTGTTAAGGTTCTCTCTGCCCACTATCCCATGATGGTTTCAAAGTACCCCTTGCTCAAACAATTCCTGTTTGAAATCATCCGTATATTAGGGCTCTTTAGGTGCCCCGCATGATGAAGAAAACCATCGCATTCGACCTTCCGATGCAAGTGAATATCTGGTTTCACATCCTCAAGACTATGGTCAGAAAGTTTTCATTGCGCAAGCTTCCAAACTGCTTGGTTGTAACCAAGCTGGAAATCGCAAGGCGCTAACTGAGATGAGCAGAAATGCACTGTTCCTTTACCAAGTCGGCCTGGTACCTGCGCATGCGGGTCGCGAGACGGGGGTGTCCTATCCACGCCAATTGAGCTTTGGATAAAGTTCCCTGGAGATCATTGACATCATCAACTCGGTCGCCCTTTCACATGCGCTGGACTGGCACGACGCGACAAAGCTGCCACAATTGTCGGAAATAACCCGCAAAAAGACGAGGAACTACACCTTATCCTCAATACAACTTGGGTTGTTTTTTGCGAGTTGATACGGCATCAATTGCACTGGAAGGAAGCTCCCACTTGAGGTGCAGAGCTCTTGCAGATAGCTCCTGTTGATGTGGAGACAGCTCTCCGCGTCGTCATCTGGACGTGTTTGGGCTGATTGTGTCTAGCTGTTGTCGCCCTTCTTCCTCTTGACCTTTTGAATACCAGTATCACACTAGACAACAAACTTTGATTAGCACTTAGAGACCACACAAGACACGATGGTGCCTCTACTCCCCCGCATGCATCTGTTTGAGATCGATGATCAGCCGTGGTAAGTCCCGTCAAGTACATTGAAGAGCGCTGCGACAACTGACATTCTTTGCCCGCCATCAAGGTTCCCACCGTGGTTTCGATCAAAAGTACAAGCTGCTCTGACAATAGCTTGGACAGCACACGTAAACGCCCTGTCCATTCTCGTTCTCATCATAGTGCTGAACTGACCCATTATCCATCATCGCAACAGATTCCCTTCCTCCAAACCCGATCCCCAGCCCAAACAGTCGCCAACCTTCTCTCCGACACGCTCGGCCAAGCCGTATTCGACTACGTCTTTATCGACTTCTGCGCCGGCGGCGGCGGTCCCACGCCCTCGATCGAGCGCCATCTAAACGCCACCCTCCCGCCCTCATCCCAACAGAACGAAGAAGAAGGAGTCCAATTCGTCCTCACGGACCTCCACCCGCACGTGCCCGACTGGAAGAAAGCCGCCGCCGAAAGCTCACACCTCAGCTACGTCGCGGACCCGGTCGACGCCGCCAACGCGCCCGCCGACCTCGTCGGACAGTACAAGGACAAAGGCAAGAAGGTCTTCCGGCTCTTCAACCTCGCCTTCCACCACTTCGACGATCCTCTGGCCCGCGCCATCCTCAAGAACACGGTCGAGACCAGCGACGGGTTTGGCATCTTCGAGCTGCAGGACCGTACACTTCCCGGTCTGCTCATGCCCATCCTTTTTGGTATTTGCATCCTGCTTTCGGCGCCCTATTACGCCCTCTGCGTCTGGCACTCGCCCTGGACGCTGGTGTTCACGTACCTCATCCCCGTCCTCCCCTTTGTGCTGGTGGGCGACGGCATCGTCAGCGCCTTGCGCACGCGCACCCCCGAGGAGGTGGCGCACCTGCTGCGCACGTGCGGCGCCGAGGGCGGGCCGGCCGACATCGAGAAGTGGGAGGTCAAGAGCGGAAATGAAATATTTATGTGGCCGATTGGACGCGTCAACTGGATCATTGCTACGCGGAAGAGGTAGGACCTGCCGCTTGGTATGAGGCCACTCCAAATGCCGCTTGGTACGAGGCCACTCCAAATGCCGTTTGGTGGTACGCGGGCAAAGTCAAAAAGTCCAACGCTCAACCTGACCCTGGTTCACTTCATGTTGCACGCCACGGCAAAACTTGTACTTGGCCAGCAGGGGCTCGCATTTGAATATGGGTGTTCAGTTGAGGTGTTTCCAATCGGGGGAGCGCCGGATCGGATTCATTCAGTGAACTGAGCCGTGCGACGTCACTAAACCGGTGGCTCCGTCTGAGGAGCTTGTACCCTATCTTGAAGGGGGCTGGGAATTTTGGAGGTTTCGCTGTTGTTGTTGTTGTTGTTGTTGTCGTCGCGAGAAAAAGTAAAACCCCTTGTCACTTGTCAGGTACCTGGCACGTTACTGACCAGTACAAGCAAAGCTTCGTGGCTTTGTATGGCCATTCACTCGATGGCCAGAAATCGTCAGCGACTTGACCTACGGGTTTTACTTGTCCATATCCCTACAGTAGCATTGAAGAAGATCCAGGGCTTTTATGTCGATAACCTCGAGAGTGGTGGTCGCTGTGTGTCGAGTTGTGTGTAAGACTACAGAAAGGGCAGTTTTAAAGCGGCAGGGGTACTGATACAAAGAGCGATAGTGCTAAGAGTAGTCAAGGGGGAGCGAGGAAAACCTCTCAAGGTGTTCAAGTGTGTACAAAATGATTTTAGGGCTCAAGATCCGTTTGTTTTATAGCGACTAGTCCACTTCTGTGCTGGATCATCTGGACACTTGGCAGACGATTTGAAGTGAAGCGAAGAGTGTCTACGAATAACCCATTCATAAGATGACCTGTCGCCCTTGATTTGGGTACTGCCATGTCACAACCGTTTGCACGCTAACTGGAATATCTGACAGAAGAATGTGTATTGTACAGTTCAGTGCTAGAAGTTACCTTACCTATGCATCTATTCTGATCCAGTCATCATCGAAATAGCTTAGGGCACATATTACTACATAAAGCGTTCCGATCAAAGCCGAGTAGTACATATTCGCCAGCTGAACCTTGTACACCACTGACTCTCTTAACCTAACCCATTCCGAGAGAACTAACTTCCCCTGCCGCTACCCCTGCCGCTGTCCCGGGACATGTGTAAGCGATCAACGACCTCCTTCCACTGCCAACTCACCGACTAATCGACCAACCTGGCAGGTACTGTACCCTACCTCTAGCCAACCGGGATGATGAATGGGAACAGAAAGCTTGACGGACGGTTAGAAGCTTGGCGGTTGGTTGGTTGGTTGGTTGGTTGGTTGGTTGGCCGGTTGGCCCAGCTGGTCTCGTCTGGATGGATCGTCCGGCTCGGTATCGTATCCGAAGGGGATGGGATAGAACAAGCCCCGTATGCCGCTTGTACTGTACTAGTATGTAGTACATGGGTAAGATGGACAGAGAGATGTGGCAAGCTTGGTGGAAAGAAAACCGATACGATGAGAGGGGAGTGAGTGGCTACCTGTGAGCGGAACCAAGACAGCAGCTGTTTGCCAAGTATTGAGGTACGTGAGTACATACTTGCCACTATGTACGTGGATGAGGGGGTGTTTGTGTGCATACTAGGTTAAGAGGATCATGGATAGTTCATCGTGAAGGGATGAGATGTATGTCACAGTGGAGAGAAGTAAACTTGGATACCTAGGGAAGTGTGTTGACATTGATGGTGTGATTGATTGTCTACGGAAGTGCCAGTGGTAGACAGACCGCTTCCATGAAGAACCAAGTCAGTCACCGTATCATGTATGATACAGGATTGGTTTGAGCGTGAACTGGAAGGAAAGGAGATGATTGGATATTGCGGAGCCATGCCGGAGTTGAGAAGAGAATTATCTTGTTGATCTCGGAGTTCAGCATGAATGAAGTCTCCGGGATGATCATTGATAGAGGTAGGTACCTACTAACTACCGAAAACGGGTTAAACGGGAATAACATCTTCACGTAGGGAGTGTTTTCACCAGTTCACAAATCACGAGCCGCATGTGGCTGTTTGATCGGTCAGTGTTGGTGAGTGAGGGATGAGTGTCGGAGGATGAGTATCCGAGTAGTATCGTAATGTACGATCAAGATCGACGTTGGCCCGGATAACAGCGGCTCGGCAGCCAGCTGACTGGCGAAACAACATGAACGACTGGATTCACATGTTACGTGGACGGTGATGTAAGGCACAAGACCACAAGACCAGGACCCGTGGGCTCTAACGGCCCGGAAGCATCTGTTACGTGTGTACCTACCTACTTGCCGGTTGCCGATTAAGAGCACTTACACGAAAAGCATAAAAGCGGACTAGCCACAAGAGGATAGACCCAACGAAGGAGGCTGGAGCGGTAGTCGTTCCGTTCTCCAATCCGCTTTCGCAGTTTGGAAGGAACCTGGAGAGAGGACATGGAGCTAGGCAGGTCCCGGTTCAACTTGTTCCCCCACACCCACGTTTTCTTCCCCTGGGCCGGCCCTGGCACGAGCCAAGTCATCAGTCAGAGCGACCGGGATCAGAATAACATCCAATCCGGGGTAAAAGGTCGCCTCTTGGGCCAACCGTCTTTCATGTTTTCCCCAGACGCCCAGAGAAATTGGCTCACTCTGCCTGAGCTCGGATCATGCGGGTGTAGCCGCCGAGCGAGTTCCCGACCACGGGTTTCTCAGAGTTCACAGACGCACGAGCTTCATCTGGATATGTATGGATAGGTGGAGGGCTTGAAACGGGAGACGGAGAGACGGGAGACCAGCAGGAAAAATTGCTGCCAGAGTTGGTAGCTTCCCCTGCAGCTCGCTCTCCTCATGGAAGAAAACGTTCGGTAGGATGTTTGGATACCGATTCGTCGAGACAAACTCAAAACTGATCTTTCTGTCCCGTCGAATTCGATCAGGCTCATCACGAACGCAAATCGTACCGCTTTCTGTTTGGGTCGGGAGATAGGAGATCACAAACTGCCAATGTAACTCTCCCGCAGGCTGAAAAGCTTGTAAACGCCTCTCCCGTGATGGTTCTTCGGCAGCATATTGTCCTGCAGTGGTTACTGGACAATCGGCTGATTAGACGAGATGCAGGCTGTTGCTTAAGCCCTGATCGGCTCAAACTTTTCATGGAAAAGTTTGGGGTTTTTGGTACTTGGGTGACATGTGGGGGATGTGGGCCGTCGAAGTTGTACCTCAAACTCGCAAACTCTCCCAAATTTTTCTGTTTAGAAGTAGGGTCGCCCCTCCTTCTGAGATTCGTGAGTTTTTGAACCAAAAAGTTCGGAATTAATTGATTTGATTGGTACTTGGCGTGACTTGGTAGAATTTTGGCAATAGTAGTCCAAGCTCGGAAAATCAGTACATAGGTAAAAAAGTTTGAAAAGTTGCAAATAACACCCGCCAAGACGCTATCGCTACGAAAGGGAAAGTCAGAGCCCGTGCTCACTCAAAGAAGGAAAGCGCCTTTGGTAAAAAAACTAGTTATAGCCCTGTTACAGCCCTGCTCGTACATAACATCCCTGAGCACCCTCCTAACTTTCGAAAACGGTAGTTATAGAGTGCAGATTTGGTCCTCATAGAGTGCAACCTACTTTTTTATCACTGAGTCAGCCCAGCCGCCCAGCCCAGCCGCCCAGCCGCGCCAGCACTGTGTGCACCACCATTTCAATGCCCGCGCATTACATCTACGTCCTCGTCTTGTCGTCAATCTTTATGTGAAGTTATTCAGAGTCGTCAATCTAGTCAATTATCTACTGCTGAGGGGGTTGATACGGTTCTTGCTAGTGTAGTTGCTAGTTCTGTTGCTACACATGCTGCACTCGCTATATTTGTTGCATTTGCTACCCACCCTGAAATTAATGCCCGCTGCTAGAGTGCACGTGCCTACCCTGATTTTGATACCCGCCGTATAAGTACTGCCCAGAATGCTGGGGAGGGTACTGGGGAGAGTGCTGGGAAGCCCCTATATATCTCTGTGAATATACTGGAGGTACTGGAGGCGGCGCTATAACCCATCCCTGTGAGCCTCTCTGTTGCTGGTTAGAAGGAGGAGGAGCATCCTAGTGCTAAGGCATTAGCTGTCTGACAGCATCTGGCACCTCATAACCAAGTTGGCTAGAGCCGTTAAGAGTTGGCAGATGGCTATGAGGCGGCTGCATTTGACTGCTTAACGGTTATTAGATTTAGGGATGAGGAGATGGGGAAGGTGCTAGTCGTTGAGAGGGAACTGGGGGGTAAAAGGGTGAGGGTGAGGGAGCTAGAGTCGACTGTAGGGTTAGAGAGGGAGCTGGGGCTAGAGTTAACCGTACTATGATTGCTTTAGCTGTATTTGTAGCTGCCTTTGTAATAGCACGATTTAAGTTATCTTGAGTAATATTATTACGGGTATGCGATGCCCTCTGTATACCTCCCTTCTATATGCCCCCTCTCCTCTCTCTTCTTTAGGTATCTCATTGTGTTGGCTGGCGAGGTTCCTCGTCGTGAGATGGCACGCGGCCGTTGTTATATCGGTCGTGGTTGATGGGCGCGGCGGGGTTATGTAATCAACCAATCTCGAGTTGGCTCGCTTTGTGAACCTCCGGGTTTAATATTTTGCGCGCTGGTACTCTATGCAGGTAATCTTTAAGGTTCAGGTCAGGAGTAGAGGTTTGTCGTCGGCGGCCAGGCAAGGGGGTTGTGTTACGAACTTAAGCGAGTACACGGGCCGACCAAGCCATCGGGACACAACAGTCATGCCAAGACAGGGCAGTGTAACCCCAAACGGGGATTGGACCAGAGGGCGCACGTCAACCAAGGGCGCTCACCAGTGGGCAAGTGCTCACGGTGAGCAGGTGCTCACAAGTGAGCAGGCGCTCACGGTGAGCAAGAACTCAAAGTAAGCAGGAACTCGGGATGAGCCAGCGAGTACCAGAGAATAGGATACACCACGACAGACATGTGGGATATAAAGGGACGACTGGAGAACTCAGATTGTCAGATAGTTCGACAGTAGTCAATAGACCATCGTCACCAGAGACACGTATAACGATACTTGTTGTGAACCCTTTGGCTTCACCGAACTACACTTGATA